TGTTTATAATTTCTTATCAAAGGACGATCGCGGGCTAAAACCTTTTGAACGTCACTCGGGGTCATGACAAAATACATCAAGGTCAATCGAACTGGATCCCCTATTATCGATATTTACCAAATATTTTTTTTAATGTAGAGTCTGTTTCTTTCTACGACATAAACGTTATAAACAATAAAAAATTTGTTCACGTGACGCAAATATTTGTTTAAAAATATTTGACCCAACAAAATTATTTTATTATTCTAGAAGAAATAGTTTGATAATGGCTACCAAATCTTTGTTAAAATAGATTCAACGAAATGTTTTGGTTAATATAACCAAACATAATTTTATCCTTACAAAAATTTAGTATCATCAAACAGTAAACCTGTTTGGTAATACTAAATTTTCAAAGTTAACTTTAACTTAACTTACAATTAGTTAAAAAAAAGTTAACTTACCCAACCCTGGTTATCAAGGAAAGAAGATTGTGTTATATTCATTATTAATACCGAGACTTGAAATTGACAAAATCTGCTGATCGTTTCAACAAAAATTTTGTCACATCTAATTTAATCGCGTTCGGTTAAAAATACAAAATATTTATCAGTTTCATTTAGTTGAAGGAAATATATCAAACAGTTAACATCATACAATGATGTGATATTTAATTATTTTTCTTTAGAGAAAGATAATATTTATTTTCGACTAAATCATGTGTATGAATCAACTAAGTTTTCATTTAACTTTGAAATTGTGACAAATAATTAATTTAGTTGATTTTGGATCGCGCTTGGTTCATCTCAATCAAAAAATCTTTTTGAAGATGAATAAACCTTTTGTTACTTAAAAAAATTAAAATTATGAAATCTGTTATTTGTTTTAATGAAAACTTTGTCATATCTAACTTAATCGTTCGGTTGAAAATACACAATATTTATCTATTTTTTACGGCATTATTTTGTCAATTTGATACTTGGAATTTAAACAAATATATTACGCAGGTAACTAAATGCCACGCAAAATTAAACAAATGTTGGTAGTATTTCTATCAAAATAATTTAGTTGAGTTGATTTAGTTATTTCAACTTAGATGGTTGACATAAATAAACTGTATACTATACATTTGTTGTTGGAACTAAACAATTGTTGAATTATTTACTGAAAAAACCAACCATACAAATTTTGTCCTTATAACCAAATTTTTTTTTCAGTGTAGGAAGATTGTAATTATTATTTATTACTTCATATACATATTTATCATTTTGATTCCTTAATAAAACTTTATAAACACATTTTATAAGTTGTTATGTCATTTTACGTCTTATTTATATGCATTATTTGTAAATTTTTCATGAGCCATACATACCTTCCTCCTCCTATGATTAGTCATATATCCCATCTCTATGGGATATATAGCAAAAATGTAAGGGTTTCAAAAAAATTATTTTTTAGTATGAAAAATTAATATTTCGGATTCCTAATATTTTTTTCATAGTAGTAGAAAGTATGAAGTTTTTACTGGTATAGTGTCTATTTGCCTTAGACATAGTAAATAATTCAATAAATAAAAGAAGGGCTACGAGCCAATTATAATGTAAAATATTTAATAATTTAAAATTTGTACATACAAACGTTTCGACACCGATCGGGTCATTTTCAATGTAAAACAACAAGCAATATTACATAAATTATCGGAATATTCAGTCACATTATAATATCCAGTAAAAACGTCGGTTATTTTGTATTCGCAATGTGCGGTCCATATGTAAAAGTATCATAAAGGTGATCTCATCTTACTTATAACGTCGCTTGACATCGTCGAGGATAAATGTTCTTTCCAATAGTATTATGGCTTACCTTTTATTAAATATAACTTAGTTAATTGCCTAAATTTTCCTCTCGGCGTCTGACTTACATCATTAAGACAATTCAAGATTGTAGAATTGTGAAAAGTAACTCAACTGCGAACACCTAGACACCCACTTCTTCGACGGCGAACACCTAGACACACTTTCCCCGACAGCAAACACCTAGACACCAACTTACTCGTCAGCGAATATGTAGACAACATCTAGACACTTAATTTCTCGACGGCGAACACTTAGACGCCCACTTCTTCGACTGCGAACATGTAGACAACACCTAGACACTTAATTCCTTGACGGCGAATACCTGGACATTTAGTTTCTCGATGGCGAACACCTAGACACCCATTTTCTCGATGGCTAACATGTAGACACCCGCTTCCTCGACGGCGACCATCAAGATATTCATTCCCTCGATGGCGAACATTCTAGTACTTCCATACCCAACTTTTTCGACAAAACATGGTTAATCACTCTAAATTAATCTAAATTCAAATTGCTCCAGAAATGTATGATCGTAGAAAGATTTGACATTAATGCATGGAAATAACATTTTATTGACAAAAAACAAAAACCTGTACGGCTAACATCTGTCATCAGGTAATATAACTGACACGAGTACTCGGGTAATACGATTAATACGGATAACTGGGTAATGCGTCCGAGTAATACGACTAATACGAGTACCCGGCTATTACTCGCATGTTTCGGGTAATGAGCGAGTACCCGGGTACTCGGGTAACTTATTATCCGGTTCAAATCATTAGCCCTAACGTATATAGCACATAAAGTAATTCAAGATTGAATTATTCAAGTATTCAGCTTCGATCGTTATAGGCATTTAATTTCTAGTATTGATTGTGTTCTTACATAAGCGGTCTAAAGTAAAGATTCTTAAGGACGTTCTTCGAAAAATCCATTTTCTTTATATTTTTCTGAAACTTACAGAAAAAGCTTGTTTTAGTGTACATGTGCTTTAAAGCTCAATACCCGTAACGGGATTAAAAATCGAGATATGCCACTTCAAAGTTGAAGAGTTTAACATAGGATACCTATCTAAAGCTTATTCGAAAATGGTCTTTCATTCACTGTGAAAAAGATTTTCTTAACAATTTTTTGAAATAATAAGACATAAAACTTGATATCACAAGGAATAATATGAAATTTGTCTGAATATGGCTTTTGGTATTCGTTTTTAAGAAATCATTGAGCAAAATTTATAACGTCACTAATAACTCAACGCATGAGTATAAAGACGCGTAGCGAGAATGCAGCGTCACACGAAGTGACGCAGTGAAAACGAAGTGAAATCGGGCACGTATAAAAAAATATGTGTCACTTATTTTTATCTGGAGAATACCATACTAAAAGCTCATTAAGATCGGAGGAGGATAGTTGGATCCTTTTCCTTGTAAGAGACATTCAATTGAATAACCACCACAGGGTGTATCAATGCTGATGGTGAAAAAGCAGAAACGCACGCATGCCCACGCACGTAGACATGGACATTCATCTTTGTTTCGTTCATATTATTGTACGCCGTGTGCCATTGACTTTTACATTGCAAAAGAGTTACAGTTTTTGAGGTCATTATAATAGAAAAAGAGGTTTCTTGTTTAGTTACTATTTGTTCATCGGGAAATACAATATTTTGCTGCAAAGTAAAGCTTAAAGTTCGGGGAACTTTGGAGAATTTTAAACTTCATATTCGAGTTCAGCACATCCAAATCTATAAAGAATGATTTCATACGTTTTCATCACAGGCAAATTTTGACTCTAAACTGCCACCGTTCTTTTAGATCTTAATATAAAAATATTATATCCCAGAGAACACAAAGTCGTCTAAAAGATGACTAAAAGATGACTAAATTGTCATAAAGATATCTTTTAGTGAAAGAATATGTTCGACGAAAAGATAACTAAAAGACGATGTCGCACTGCTAGTCTTACAGCCTTATTCATATGATAAATAAAAGATGACTTCTTTGGATATTTTTTAGGCCTCTTCAAGACTTCTTTTAATTTTTATATTTTGGCACATATAATGTTTAATAACATCGAATTTCTAAATTAATTTTTACACAAAACAAAATGAAATTGTATGACTGACAATATATAATACATCCCATTTCTGAGTCCTGCAATGTTTGCTGTGCCCTATATGTGCAAGAGCCACTATCCTTCATCATAATCCCCCCTTTGAGGGATTCGGTTTTAAAAAAATATTTTATTAGTATTCATTAGAACACACGAGAAAATACGAATACACGAGTAAAATTTCTCATAATGCTACACACACATCTTTTATTCTATCTTGTATGATTTTCAAATACGAGAAACTGAACTCCGCCACGTCCGTCTGGTGGCGAGCCCGCGTACTGCTCGCGAATAAGTGATAAAAAGTACCAAAATAATCGAAAGATATCTTTTTCATGTTGTTTTTTCGGCAATACGAAAAGATATCTTTTAATTGACTTTTGCTTTGCGAAAATGACAACCATAGAAAGATGACGAAAAGATGTCTTTTTTAAGTTATCTTTTCGACAAAACTGAAAGAGATGTCTTATAGATATCTTTTCGTCTTACTCAAAAGATAATCTAAAAACGATGTTTTTTCGTCATCTTTCAGACATCTTTTCGCTTTGTCGAAAATACAACTTACGAAAGACCTCTTTTCGTTAGTTTTTAGTATTTTGTGTTGTCTGGGATGCTTAATACAAATTTAACAATAAATGAGCATATTTGATGTATAATTTACATTACAATAACAACACAAACTTTTCCTTTGTTTGTTCTAATATTTCCCAAATTTCGTATCTACATTTATTATATATTATAATATGTTTATACTAACAATGAATATAGATAAAGATATTGTACGCTATGCACACATAAATATTTGATATATATGGTATGTATGCATTATCAAGATTAATGTAGAAACTTGAAGTAACAAAATTTCATAAATTTATTACATTAGGACCCTTAATACTGGTTGTCCAAATTTCTCACCCTTTTTACATTAAATCTGATAGTGTTTTTTGTAGTATCTTTTGCGCTCTATTCAAACTTGTTGTTCAAATTTATAAAAAGAATGGAGTTTCTAACTAACTTTAAAAGCTTTAAAAATTCCTTTATTCATCTATTCTGTAAAATCAAATTATAAATAAATTAAGACATCAAATTTTAAATGGTAACTCTCCGTTAATAGCAGCTGCTACTTTTTCATTCTTCAAAATTGTCACATGATCACCTTCAATGTAATGTACGTTTACTACATTTTGAGTTACCTTAAATAATTACACACTTTATTAACAACCAAATTTGCTAAATTTAATTTATCAAACGCAGCATAGATTTTTTTAAATACCTTATGCAAACAAAAATCTTCTTCGATTGCAATCATATTTGACGAGTGTGTACATTTCAGCAATATTATGGAAGACTTAATAGGCGGCAATGTAGAAGGATCATATTGTCGAAGAGCGGATAAATGTTTGTAAATCGTTATACACAGTGTCTTCAAATTTGCAAATGAGAGATATGTATATGTAACAGAGAACTGTTTAGCGAAAATATTAAATCTTTCATCCCAGCTCTCACATTTCTTTAATTCCATTAAAATCTACGAAAATATAAAAATTTTTGTTTTTATATACAAGATCAAGACAGAACGAAGAAATTGATACTAATCCATGATAAGAAACCGAAAAGTAATATAAATATACCATAAATTAGTTTCAATGTGAGTCCAAAACAAAAATTGCATATACCTTTTGAGAACCTCCCACCGAATAGATATCCAGAATATTAGTTAATATATCAATTTGAAAATTTACATCATCAAAATCTGATTCAAAAGGTTTGAACATTGCTCGTGCTAGATCAGGAGCACCGTCGATGAGAACAAGTCGGCCTTTAAAATTCATAGCTTCTAACATCCTTGTTACTTCAATTGCAATAAGAGATCCGAAGGAGTACCCTACTATTACAAAATCTTTTCCATCCGTTAGCTTTAGAAGTATGTTCTGTAAGAATATCAATAGTATTCGATAAATTTATATCGTTTAAATGAAAACAATTCTTCAACATAAAATGAAATTACTAATGCTATTGCATACGTTTGTGAGACGATTAGTTGTCTCCGTTATCATGTTTGTACAATCCATGTTGTTTGTGTTATAATGCAATAGCGACATTGAAAACTTAATATATGGTATTATTGTTCTAAAAACAGTACCACATCCGTCAATACCCGGTATAAGAAATACTTCAGTAGTAGTGTTCTGTCTGTTAGTCGAAAAATCTGTTGAGAAAACAAAGTCTTCATCTTTTAATGTAATACCAACTAAAATTTTTATAACATCTGACTTCTCTATGATGAATTTCTTTTCATCATTCACATCATCGTCATTGATGCTTGCAACAGACATCTTAATGAGTTTTGCGAAAGTGAGATTTCGTATCTCTT